ACACCAGTGCGCGGAGCAACCGCAAACTTCATAGTTGTTTTTCTCTGTCCCTTCCATCGACTGAAATACTGTTGACTTTGTACAATCAGACGCAGTCTCTTCTGGTTGAGACCACGATGCAATTGGAAACTGGTTTCAGGACGTAAATTAATTAATGGAATTAATACCAGAATTTCATTGTTTCTCACTGGAGTGTTTATTGAGGGGCCCTTTGAGCACTTTTCGATTCGTTGCACATCTAAACCAGCAGGAAATATATTTAATTGAACCCGTTTTGCCCCGTATATTTCTTAAAACCTATTTTTTTGAGTTTATACATTGAAATTCAAGGATATATTCAATTTCAAGGAAATATTTAACTGGATTTTTCTGATTTCATTTGATTTTTATGTCACAATTTAAATAAAATTTACAGTTGCCACCAATTTTTCCATGAAATTTTCAACTTTCCCATATTCTATTAATATTTGAAAAAAATTTAATTAATACCAGGACTTAATTCTTTCTCATTGGCATATTGATTGACTTTTGATGCGTAGGACATCGAAATAAGCAGAAAACATGTTAAATTAAGCCCATTTTGCCCCGCACTAATGCTAAAACTTCATTTTGTTGCATTTTTACATTGAAAATACTTATTTAGATTTACACTTCAAAGAATGGAATTGGAATTCCGTTTTTTTTGTGAACCTAAATAGTCCATGAAAAATTATGTTCTTTTTAAACGTAAGGGGAAAAATTATGAAAACTCAAATTTGGCTTAAAATTAAATGAAATTGTAATTTTTTAACAACACAAGACGAATATTTCCAAACCCCTTTGAAATTTCAATTAATTCAAAATTCAAGAATATATTTACCTGAATTTGTATGATTTCATTCGATTCTCATGGAATAGTTGAACTGCAATTTACAATTCCCACTGACTTTTCCATAAAATTTTGAATTATGAATGACGAAATGCCTTGAAATTTCAGAGGCATTATAATATGCTAAAAATTTGCAAAGTGTATCGGAAATTTCCGTCAAAAATCTTCAAAGTGATTAAAAAAATTGATTTCCTCATGTTCTGTTAAATAGAATAAAAAATGAAAACCCAATGTCATCTTTGAAGTCTAGCTGACATTAATAAAAGAGTTAAAATCGGACGAAAATGTGACATCTTTCCTGCTCCCAAGATGCTCTATCACGTATGAAAAGTGCCCCTCAATAAAACAACGCATAAAGAAGTTCATTTTGACAACCCCATCCAATTCATTACACTAAAAACTTTTCCTAAAAACTCAGAAATTCATAATCTCCTCCTGACCCAGTTTCCATGATTATGCCATGAAAATAAAATCTCGTGGCACAATTAATTAATTGCACGTATCAAAACAAAAAACTTCCCGGAATTTTTAAACTTTGGATTAAATAATTAAACAGACCCGGTAATACTGTAATAGAGACAACACACGATGCAATATATATTTGTAATAGTTGTGAAGAGAGGCAACAAAGCGATTAACGAAGTACGAGAAAATTAATTAATGATTGAAGAGGGGAAAAATGGAACGTGGAGTGAGATACAAATTTTGCTATGATTGTCATAGCAATAAGGAGAACGCATAGTTACGAATTTAACGAATTCAGTAGATCTAATCGACCTTGTATTAATTAAAAACAAAACGATTGTGCATCGAAGATAAGACCCAGGAGTCGTTGAATCACAAGTGATTCGCATGAAAAAAAAAATAGCTAAACAAGTGGGAAATTGCTTTCGTCACGACATAGTGAATATATTTTTGTAAGAAATTATCAATTTGCTTCCGAATGGAATTTCTTTGATGATGCCCAAGGTTGGCAACCAGCATTGTCTGAATGTCGGCAGTCACCAGTCCCGACATTGGCTACCGACATTGGGGCTATCTGATTCGATGAATCATTGAATTTAATGATTCATTGAATTCAATATTATGCAACAATAATAATTGATACTTGTCAATGTCAATTGATATTTGTCAATGTTGGCACCGTTGGCAGCCAACATTATCTCAATGCTGGCAACCAAAGTTGCCTCAATGCTGACAGCCAACATTACCTTAATGTCGGTAGTCAACATTAAGACTAACTGATTCGAAGAATCATTGAATTCAATGAGGTATTGAATTCAACATTGCTCCACCGTTAGCAGCCAATCTTGTCTCAATGTTGACAGCCAACATTGCTCCAATGTTAGTAGCCAACATAGCCCTAACGTTGGGACTATGTTGCCTGCCGAATATGGGGCTAACTGATGCTATGAATTATTTAATTCAATTCAAATTTAATTAAATTAATTATCTTATTTTTATTCACCACCGTTGTTCTTTCATGCGAATAAATACTTGTGAATTAATCGAGGGATTAAATAGTGTGAATAAAGACAGCGGAAATAATTGAACGAATGGAGGATATAAAACCTAGAATTTAAAAATAACGGATTTAGGGTTGGATTTTAAAGAATTAAAGAATAAAAAAAAAAGAAAGTAATGGTTAAATTACGAAATCTTCGTTGTGGCCAAATGTGGGGGAGAATTAATAATTATTAGAGAAGTGAAAGAAAACTCATCGCGTAAGGAGAAATTCAATTTTTGGCTTTTTATTCATGTTGTAATTTTTGCGCAATCAGTTTGAATTCCTATAGTGTAAGACGAATTCCATTTGACTTTATCGGGGGATTTATTGAATCGAAGGATGAATTAATTACTCCAATTGTTACAATAGGAATTGAGTGAACATCGCTGCATTATTTCAATTACGATAATCTAAAACAAATCATCGAGTCGTGCTTTGATTCAATTGATCCGCAACTTTTATTCCATAAAAATCGAGGGGACAAAAAATACATAAAAAAAATTATAAAGACACATCTTCCAACGTATTTAGACGAGAGTGCCTATCGAGTAAAAAATAAATAAATTCAGGATTGTAATTACTGCGGAACGGTTCGAGTGGAAATGCTGAACGAAATGATGTTCCACATATCTCTTTTTTCAAATAAAGAAAAAAACAAATAAAATATAAAAAAACCTTGAATAAATGCGGGCTGGCATCTTCCCCTGTACTGGCAGATAAAAACAAATGAGAAAATCGCATGCAATGAAACCGCATTCTCACCGGCGTGAAAACCAAAATGTGACGGAAAATGGAAAATTAGTAATAACACGACACGAAATTTCCGAAACTATAAATAAAAGAAACGAGTAAAATGCGAAGAAATCGTGTACTAAACACCTCCAACTGCATTGTAATTTGTAAATTACTATTATGGACTTCCTGATCATATGCTGGTATATAATAATACATGTGTTCTGCCACAATAAAGCAGTTTTTTAAATTAAAAACAGTATGATTTATTCAACCATCATCTTTATCATATCAAAAATAATATCTCGGAATCTAAGGCAGATAACAAAATTTTTAGTATGAACTTTTTTATTGAGCAAAGTGAGAAGTACAAGAAATGTTGTAACAACAATTGCTGTATCTCCCTTAGATCCGGAGATATTCCTCGAAAACTTAGCTGAGAGGTAAGTCGACTTAAGGATATCCAAGTACTTTGTCCATTTTTTTTCCAGTAAAATGCTTTTCTAGTTTTATAGTTGAATATCAGAGCTTTCATTTGAGTCCAATTAGTCCCTAAGTTTCCGGACATTTTACAATGATTTTATTATTTAAACTTTGCAGGACTAAACTTCAATCTCGATATTGAACCGCTAGAGAATATTTTAAAAATTTGAAAAAAAATAAAAAGTTTATTTTTGGAGGAAGATTGGTGAAATAATTGAAAGATTTCAATTCTTTAAAATGACGAGCATTTTCTATAAATAATTTATAAACAATCAGTTTTCCATCATAAAAATCATTTGTTCAGAATCGTAACAGATTTATTCCTATTCAGAATATTCCCAGCAATCCATTTCATGCCTAAAAAAATCGGGTTTCTGAAAGTTTAAACAATTTCAATTATTTGTGTATAACAACGAATATTTAAAAAGAAAGAAAAAAATTCTACGCAAAATGTATTTTGAATGACGCTAAATATTCATGATTTTCATCAAACTTTTCTCACGCAATTTAATGAACAAATTTAATGACTGAAAATGCTTCAATCATTTCACGCTTCGCCCTGAATGATTTCCCCCCCTAGGATTAAAAATTAAAAAGCTCCCCTGGCGCCATCAGCCGGGCTCCGCAGCCACCTCTCCCAATCGATAACACAGTTCCCTGCATTATTAAAATAAAACCGAAAATCGCACCTCCAAGATAAAAGATTAACCCCGAAGACCTAGACAATGTTCCCTCCCCTCCCACCCAGGATCCCGAGCATAAACGCAGCCCGATCCACAATCCAATATTCCCCATTCTCCAATACTAGATATACCCTGCAACATTAACCATCCTCAGTAAAAAAATAATTCAATTCAGAAAACTCCAGTTCCAGCTCATCCCCGGCGTCACCCGTCGCCGGGTTGAATTATTAACCCGGAAAACCCTCGTCGTCGGGGTTCCCCACGGTTCCATGTCATCATCCGCAGTTGCACCGAGTGCACCCCAGGGAAAAAGCCCCGAGAAATTCCATTCCACTTTCAATCCCCCTCTCTCTCACACCTCGCCCGGAGCTTCTGTATTCCCCCAAAATACCCGAGCAATCGATAAAACCGCCGAGCAGTGGAGGCCCTGTCGCCGAAAAAGCCCCCTTTCCCCCATTTTTAATCACCTAACGGGGCAATGAAGCCGGAAAAAATCTCCGAATTCACCCCTTCAGCCAGCAAAATGCCCCGAAAATCCCAGAGATCGACCACCCCCGCGATTGTCGCAATTAATTGACGAAAAAATAGCTGAGGGTCAGTACTTTACCCACCGCCAGTCCTCTCACCTCCCGCAGCCGACGCTCGCCGAGTCCCCACGACTCCCTCCGACCCTCGTTCGCACTCACTTCACGTACACAACACAAACGCACTTCGACGTCCACCGGAGACCCCCGGGGGATCTCGACGACCCCCGAAAGCCACCGAGTGCATTCTGTTCACTCGCAGTTGTGCCTCAGTGTCCGGAGAGTCAAACAAACGTACGCGTCCAAGCGGGCGCGGTCTCAGCCACCCGAAACTGGCGTTAAATATCAGTAAAAAATGTCATCCTACGACTGTATGGACTTGTGCCGTTTGTGTCTCGTTAAGGATCGTGTTTCCGTGCCAATATTCGAGGGTGAGGGCGATGTGCGACAGATTTTTCTCAAAATCGCTGCCTGCCTACCGGTCAAGGTAAGCCATACTACGCCATAGTTGTCCCTTTCTCACACGCCGCCATCTTGATACTGTTGTGCCGTTCGCAATTCGCGAGGCTTGCGCGCGGTTCAGGGATTTTTGGGGAATTTTTGGGAATGAAATTTTTGAAAAGGCGCGGGGGGGTTGCGGCCGCGTTTTTGGGGGCTTCGGGAGGGCTTTTGGGGGGGGTTCACAGACACTTCCGGCCACAGTGGGGACGCCAATGAAACTTTTTTGCCGCGCTTTTATTTCTCATTTGTTTCCACATGCCATTCGTTTTCCGAATGGTTTTTTGGGGAAATTTTGGCGTGGATTTTTAAGGATAGCGATCTCTTATTCACAAAAGAATTAGTCATTTTTTAGGGTTTTTTATTGTTTGGTTGATTGTTTTTTGTTTTCTATTTTGTTTTTTGATTTTTCATCAGTTTGGGAGGGAATTTTACATGTCATCAGTTCTAAGATTTTTTTTTTCAATTTTAAATGGAAAAATAGCACATGAATTTCGTTGGATCATTTTTTAAATAATTTACCAGGAGAATTCGTTTCTTTTTATCTTTTTATCAAGAAAAAAACATGATTTGCGTTGATTTTAGTTTTTGTTTTAAACACTAGTCTTCCAAGAAAAGTTAATTTTCAAATTTTTATTCAATTCTATATCATTTTTAATTTTTTAAATTTTGACAAATTTATCCTTAAACTTCACTCATTTGTTTCCACATGCCGTTCGTTTTCCGAAATGAATAGGAATTTTTTGTGGTCAAATTTCTCACGGATTTTTAAGGATTGCGATCGCTTTTACTGCGAAAGAAATTTTTTCCGGATTTTTATTTTGCTACGATTTTTTTTTGCGTGGTTGGTTGTTTTTTTTTATTGTCAATATTTTTTAAATTTTTATCATGTGCGGGAATTGGACATGTCATCAATTCTTAAATTTTTTTTTTATAAAAAAATATTACATGATTCTTGTTAAATAATAAACTGTTTCAATAATTTACAAAGAGAATTGTTTTCCTTGTATTCAAGACAAAAAAACATTATTTGCATTAATTTTATTTTCTGTTTTAAACACTAGTCTTCCAAGAAAAATTAATCTTTAAATTTTCATTCGATTGTTTATTAACCTTTTTTTATTTTTTTAAATTTGTTCTTAAATTCCTTATAAAACAATGATTTTATAATTGTTATTTTTTACTTTGAACACTCACCCGTGATTTTTACTCCATTGTCCATTCATTTTCTTTTGTTGACTGTAATTGACAATTTTTTTAGATTTTCATTCTCGCAAAGTAATTCAATTGTTTCACCAGCGAAATCTTTGCACATTTCACGTCAGTGGGCGTTAAAATTTCCGGTGAATTGACTCCAAGATAATATCTGTAACCAAAAAAACAGAGGCGTAATTTTGCATTAGCACGTGATGATAAATATTGAGAGGTGTGAAACAAGGCTCAAATAATATTTCACACACTGAAAAAACGAATGAATTTCAATCGATTTCATTCCTCTGCGAAAAAAACTTGTATAAAGTATAACTTTTTATAGAAATTCGACAAAAGCTCTGGCTTCAGATGTCATCCATCAAGAATCATTGATTAGCAAAATCTAATCCACAATTTTCACTGTTAATTGAACTTTTTATCGACAAAGATTTATTTTATTACAGGCAAGAAGAAAATATTGCTTTTTTCATCTAAAAAGAAAATGTTTTTTTTAAATCTCCTCTGAATTGACTTTGAGATATTGATATTATTGCTCATTTCCATGTTTATTTCAATTATATTAGATCATGGGGAATTGGAAAATCACTTTATACTTTGAAATATTCTCTGCAACCGAAAAAACGACGGTGTTATTTTGCAATAGCACGTGATGCAAATAAACATTGCGGGGGTGAAACAACCCTGAGACAATGTCTCAAACACAAAAAAATCCCTGTAAATGAAGTCCAATCGATTCGATCCCTCACCTTCCAACTCCACGAAAAACTTTCCATCATTTTTTATAGAAGTTTGACAAAAGTTCAGCTTTTAAACTCCTAAAAATCGAATACGAAAGAAAATAAAAATCAACATACCCATAAATCGATGGATAAAAAACGAATGACTCATTCTTCCCCGCAGTTACTAGCATTATTAAACCATAAATTAATGACTGAAGAACAACTGTGTCACCCCAAGAGAATTGTTGTAATTTCCAAGACACTAAAACTTTTTATAATTTTCTTGTTGATTGTTTAAATTTAAAAAAAAATCAGACATTTAAGCCCCTTAGGCCTTCATGTAAATAATTTTCCTTCCCACATAGTCTTTGTAATTATCTCAAACATTTCCCTGAACAAACGAATGTACAACGTGAAATAATTAAATCGCAGTTGAACAATTAACCTACACTCTCCCCTCCTAAAGGGATTTGGTGTCCTTAAAAGCAATTAAATTGAACTTGTTATAATTTATGATAAGAATTCAACAACAGATCTTGTTCCAAGCCCCTCACAATCGAACACAAACGAAAATAAAAAATCAATCAATCAATTTATGCGAAAAATGGATTTAGTCCATAAATCGACGAATAAAAAACGGATTTCCCAGTTTTTCGAACAGTTACTAACATTATTAGACCAATTAATTAATGAAGAATAATTCTAACACCCCAAGATATCCCCCGAATAGAAATTATTATAATTTCCAACACGCGAAAACTTTTTCTAATTTTCTTTTCGATTGTCTAGATTAAAAATAAATAAATCAGACATTTAAGCCTTCATGTAAATAATTTTTCTTCGACATAATCTTTGTAATTACCTCAAACATTTCCCTGAACAAATAAATCTACAATTACAAATAATCTGCCAGCAATTCAAGGATGAACTAATCCATTTACTTTCCCTTGTGATGGGACTTTTTATCCTTATAACATAAATTTAATTAAATTTTCATTAAATTCAATTCGATTTAATAAAATTTAATTAAATGGCCTCCATCAGCATTACTAAATAATAATAAATAATAAACCTAGTAATGAACAATTGTTTTACTGTTACAGGTAGGAAGGGACGACAAATTGCCCAAGAAAATATGCGACGACTGTGTGTACAAAGTAGAATTACTTTACGACTTTTGGAATACAACAGCTAACGCTGAGAAACAGTTACTACAATGGTTAGGGGAAGATGGAGAGGACAAACAGGGTTACGTGTCGAGTGTTATGAATTCAGTGAGTAAACATTTCCAAACGACCTTAAACAACAACAATGAATGAATGAATAAAAAATGGAATGGAATAAATGAATTATCCTCAGGAACTGATGAAGCAAGAGACTGCAGAGAACAGACTGGACAGCTCAGCGATGCAGACAGAGGAGCACCAGAACAACATGAACATGAACATGATGGACCAAATGGGACTGACAATGCCAATAATCATGTCCACAGACCAGCAACAAATCACCTCAGTACCTATGGCATCGAGTGGAAATAATATTCAAGCTGTACCTGGTACAAGTTCACAATCGTCTAGGGGAAGGAAGAGTGGAAACAATGAGGATGACGAGGAGGAGAGCGAGGAGGATGAGAATTCCGACGACGAGTGTGATAATGATGGAGGTAAATTAACTCCAAAACCATTTCAAAAATTCTAGAACCCATTTTTTTCCATTCACAAAGTAAATTTCTTCTTTTCTGATGAATCTAAGGTTTTAAGATCAGTCAAAGGTAATTGACTGATCTAATCTAACTAAAAATCGAGAGTCAGTCCTCATTAATTAAGAATTATTGGTGGACAATATCAATAACTAATTGAATATCTGTCCAATTGAATTTTTTTTTCTCACTCAAAAACCCATTTTATTGATTAAAAGTTTAATTAAAAGTGAAAATAATAAATTAGCTGTCATTAATTAATGATTATCGACTAATAACATCAATCAATAGTGGAATATTTAAATACTTCTAAACCCCTTTTTTCTGTTTCAAAAAACAATTCTCTTCTTTTCTGTAATAAAATCAATCTTTTATTTATAAAAAGTTGAATAAATAGTCGAAACCATAAATTAGTTATCATTAATTCATGATTATTGATGAATAGTATCATTGGATAATTGAATATTCATTCAATTGAGATATTTAAATGGGCGAAAAAAAATTCTAGGAATAAATGTGAAAGAGGAAGCCCCAGACACTGGTAGAAACGTGGAGCCATCGTTCGTCAACGTATCAATACCCTGTGACGAGGCTGGACCGTCTGGCCTCCAGCAACAGAAGCTCACAGAGATGCCTGAAATGGTAATGGCCCAATCATCAGAAGGCGATCCCAAGTCTGGGTGAGTTTCACACTTGATTTTGTTATCATTCAAATCCAGGGCCAAAGATGCTGTTGTGGTGATCACAAACAATTTAACATCACATCGTTTCCTCTCTCGACTCAATTGCATTGATAAATCCCCAGAGAACAACTGAGAAATTTCCGGTGTATTTTTTAGGTTTTTTTTTTTAGTTTCATTGAGATTTTAAGAATTTTCGTTATTGAAAAATCAAAATTTCGGGGAAAAACCAATGGAAACTGTAAATTACAGTTCAATTATTCCATGAAAATTGATAGGAGCCAGGAAAATTCTGATAAATGTATTCAGGAATTTTTAATTTGTTGAAAATAGAGTGTAATTTGATGCTGAATATTTATGTTTTGATTGAAAATTCAAGTAAGTTGGGGAATTGTAGTCTTTTTGCTGTTATAAAGGTGGGAATTCCATTGAATTTTCAGTGAAATCTGGAATTTTATGATTTTTTTTTCTTTCTAGATCAAAGTTAATGTCACTCCCCTGAAAATTACCAGCCAAATGTTTATCCACTGAAATTTCAAGAAATTTCGTCATTGAAAGTTCAAAATTTTATGAGAAAATTAATGGAACCTGTAAACCTTGGGTCAATTTTGTTAATTAGTTGAAAATATAGTGTTATTTGGTGCCGAATAATTATGTTTTGATTGAAAATTCAAGTAAGTTGAAGAATTATCGTCTTTCTGCTGCTAAAAGGCTTGGAATTCCCTCCGATTTTCAATGAAATCTGAAATTTCAAGGAATTTCGTGATGGAAGGTACACCATTTGATGAAAAAATAGATGAAAACTGTAGATTTGGTCCAATTATTCCATAAAAATTGATAGAAATCAGGAAATATATTCATGAATTTTCAATGAATTGCTACTGAATATTCATATTTTGATTGAAAATGCAAGTAAGTTGAGGAATTTCTCTTTCTTCTGCTCGAAAATTTGTAATTTCTCCTCATTTTCACCGAAATCGGGAATTTCACTGAAAATTACGACTCAACTGTCCGTGAAACATCAATTTTTTTCCGAACCAAATTTTTCATTTCAACCAGAATTCCAATTTGCGTTTCTATCCCCTTCAAAGATTTTCAATGACATGAATTCCCAACAAAAATATAACTAAAATGAATAGAAAAGCCTGAAATATCAGAATTTATCCCCACAAAACTAGTTGAATGCCACTTTCCCGAAAATCCCTACTAAATTGTCCAGGAAATTTCAATATCTTCTAAACAGTGAGTCTCATAGTCGATTTTTCTATTTCCTCCATTTCGTTCACCCCCCCTAATCCCCCCTAATCTTCCACCAATTTGGAGATTTCCACTCCCGCCGACGTGGAATACGTGGAGGTAAGTGTTCACACACCCCACAAACATCTTTGGCCCCCAGTTCCCCAGCAGTTTGCTTGTCATTCAATACCCCCACAACTTTGCCAACAACTATGACTGGAAAAAAAAAGAACTCAACTCTCCCTCGCATTTCTGAAATATGCAAATTGCTGGGTAGCCCATAAATATTATATGTGTATCAAGAACAGTGGCATGTACCTGAAAACGTTCAAATCAACAATCATCCTTTCCATTCTTTCCGAACGAAACTAAAACCTACGATAAATGGAAAAGTTGCAAGACAAATAAACAAAACCTTTTGCATTGAAACAATCATTCGGAATGTGTATTTCCCTGGATATAACAGACATTTGAACGTTTATTGGTTTATATTTTGTGTCTGGTGAACAGAAAAATTTGCACCAGAGAAAAATTCAAGGGAAGAATTTCCAGAATAATTCGGAATTTTTACATTTGCGAAAGAAATCAATCAAATTTTCCTGTTCACTGAAATGTTTCATGTGTCGATATAATATTCCCACGCTTACGTGAAGGCACTAATGCCGCACCCGGCCAGAGTTGGTCGGACAATACCACTGACGATCGATAGGTCGTGAAGAATTTCGTTTAAAAAATGTTTTTTTTTAAATACCCGTACGGTTCTTTCGGTTGGCCAAGGAATCACTGACCTCCATCCACTGACATGATAAATTGCCTCAAAATATCAATTACCGATTATTACAATAGTCAAGGACACAACCCTTTATCAAGACATAACAATAGCCTAGACTTAAGTGATGATAAATCGAGAAGAAAATGATCACATTGGAGTCGAGTGTTTCAAAAGGACTTTAGGATCATCAGAATACGAAAATGTCACGAAATACGATGATAATATAATATGGCAGCAACACGAAGAGGATGCAGATTTTCTTTGAAATAAAAACAAAGGCGAGTATTTTATTTTCTTAAAAAACAATATTAAACCTCTCGATTAAGAATTTTATCCACATTTTGTTGTTTATTCTCGTCAGTGCGCGTGCGCATTATCGGATTTTTTTATTGTGAATTTTTGATTTACGATTTTTTGAGCAATGCTTTGAAATTGAATTTACGAAACGCCCATGTCCTTCGAGTGCGGAGTGAGACGGGACTCGTAAAAGGGTATGCCTCGGTATTTTATTTTGGCAAACCGGTTTTCAAGCGCAGCGCACGAACCTTGACTCAATCGTTTGCGGTCTATTTAGGCTCACGTGCTGCTGCTGCTGCTGCTGCTCCTCTGGTTATGCCTCTGCAACCCTTTTTTCTCCGGCGAGAAATGGAGAATTTCACTCTGCGACGCCTCGGAGAGCGCGGAGGATCATTCTTCCAACGCGAATTTTGCGCCTTTGTCTCCACGTTTTTACGATAATTACTTGGCAGGCTTTTTATGCGCCAGTGGTGTAACCGGACACATGTCCGCGATTTCGAACAATTGCAGTTTGCAATTTTTTTATTTTTATTTGCGGAGTTGAACGTTCTCAAGTGGATTTCCCGGTGCGCTTGGGAATTTTTATCGCGTTTTATTTCCACTGGAATTTCGAGAATTTTCGTCGGGGAAATCCATGGTTTTATGGGATACCAAGCGAGGATGTGAATTTCAGGTCATTGTTTCATGACGAAATTTTATTATTTTTTTCTCCTACATCGCATTTAGGTCAACTGTTTGTGAAATTTATATTTTTTTCATCAGATATCTCCACTGAAACTTCAAGGATTTTCGACGTTTTTCAACGAAAATTTAAAATTCTGTGGAAAAAGAATGGTAGATGTAAATATCAGTTCAATTATTCAAAATTGAAAATTAAAATTTGTTCACAACAGGAAAATTGACGTATATATTTTCTTGAATTTTCAATGATTTGAGAATTCAGTATAATTTAGTACTGAATATTCATGTTTTGATTAAAAGTTCAAGTAAGTAGAGAAATTCTCATTTTCTTGCTGTTCAGAAGTTCAGAATTTCATTGAATTTTCAGTGAAATCTGAAATTCCATGATTTTTCTCCTAAATCAAATTAAATTTCACTCTCCTAATTACTCAACTGTTCTTGAAATTTACATTTTTTCCCCCACAGTGTAGTTCCATTGGAATGTGAAGGATTTTCGTAATTGAACATTCGAAATTCTACGGAAAAATTAATAGAATATACAAATGTCTGTTGAATAATTCCGTGAATATTCGTAGGAATCAGGAAAATTCCGGTATATATTCTTGAATTTTCAATTGATTGCACTGAATATTTATATTATTATTAAAACTCAAGCAATTTGGAGAATTCTTGTCTTTTTGCTGTTCAAAAATTCAGAATTTCATTGAATTTCCAGTGAAATCTGCATATTCATCATGTTTTTTCTATCCTAAATAGAATTCAATGTCACTCTCCTAAAAATGACTCGTCAACTATCCATTTTTTCTTAACAGTGCAGCTTTGAAATTTTTATTTATTAAGAAAGTGAATGGAAGGAGATTCTCGAAGATGCAGCTCTGCACCAGACATCCAGGAGGCTTCGGTTTAATTAAAAAAGGTGAGAAACTGATTATTAAATTCAAAACTTTTACTTCAACCCAAAAAATCCCCATGAATAATCAATTGTTGATATTTGTATTGAACTCGCGTGATATTAATAGACGACGGTCATGAGCAATGCATAGCACCTAGCACGACCACAAGACATCACAAAAACAACTATAAAATAAAGAAAAATCACCGCCTGTCACTGAATCGTCCAGCTGGTGTACCCAAATGAATGATCCCCCCAGAATCTCACAAAACTGCTCGGTTGTCGTACACTGTTGAAAAATTTTGGCTGAAATTCTCGGTACACTTTTTAGAAATTTCCATCGTCTTAGAATGTCACTGAAATTTCAAAGAATTTCGACACAGAAAATTCACGATGATTAGAAAAATCAAGGGAAAATTCCAAATTGTAGTTCAATTATTCTCAGAGAATTAATGGAAATTCACATAATATTCTTGAATTTTCAATAAATTAAGAATTCAGCGCATGTTTTTGTTGAACATTCAAGTAAGTTGAGGACTTCTCGTACCTCTGCTGCTCAAAAATGTTAAATTTTCAGTGAAATTCGAAAATTCATAGTTTTTTCCTTAAATTGTCGGTAAAATTTGTGGAAATTTTTATCAAGTGACAATTCTACTGATATTTCAAGGAATTTCGTACTTGTAAATTCACAATTTCATGAAAAAATCGATGGAAACGGTAAATTGCACCCTAATTATTTCATGAGAATTAAGAGAGATCAAGAAAATTCAAGTGAACCTCTCCTTAAGTTTTCTATTGCTTAAAAATTCACAAGTAGGAGAATTATCATCTTCTACTGCTCAAAAATTGAACATCGTATCAAACAGAAAAAAACCATTTTGATTTTCAAGGACATGTCACTGATTTCCTGAAACATGTCACTAATATTCAGGAATCTATCGCCAATTATTATTAATACCGAACACCCTCACTAATAACCCTCATATCACTGAAATTTGGTGATAAATTCTTAAAAATTAGAGATAAATCCCTGGAAATGAGTGCTATTATTCCAAAAATTAAAGATAATGTCACTGAAATTTCCCAGTTACAAATCCCAAACGATTGCCCCTAAAAACCGAGACGTCTTTCCTTCTGTGAATTTTCACTGAAATTCGAAATTTCACGATGTTTTCCCCAATCGACCAAAACATTGCTCCCCGGTAGCCGACAACCGAAAAAAATCCCCGAAACGTCAATATTTTTCAATCAGTGTACCCCCAGACTATCCAGTGTCCACAGGTATTTTATCCAATTACAGGGAAGGCGAGTCATTCGGTGGATTATCAGGCATGCTACGTCAGATCCTCTCCCCATCCCCCGAAACTGGTGACGGTTCATTCGCTGGTTATTGCAGCTTGATCCAGCCAGGAATATACAACAGTTACCCCAGCATGCTGTCCCCAACGATCCAACACATCGTCCCGACGTCCTCCTCATACCATCCACACTCAGCCTCCCTCATCTCCCTCGAGCAGCCGACCCTAGATCACCTGGAGATACACGTTGAGACACACCAGTGTCCAAACTGTGGCCTGGACTTTCGTAGTGTACCAAAGCTCAATTATCACATAAGAATGTGCCACCAGATTATTCCCAAACAAGAGCCCAATCAGATGAAATACACGTGCACATACTGTGGACGAGTATTTCCCTGTCTCAGTCACCTGAGAATGCACGAGGTGACCCACACAAATCCCCAACAGATGCAGCAGAACAACGTTCTCGTTAATAATGTCCAGATGATGCAGAATGAGCAGAATGATCAGCCATTCCGTTGTGACAAGTGTCAAGCGACATTTCGATACAGAACATTGCTCGATCGTCACAAGAAGATGCACACTAATAGTCAGGACAAGCCTTACGTATGTCCACGGTGTCCAATGAGATTTGAAACGAGAACACTTTACAATCATCATGCTAAAACCCACAAGCAGGTGAATGCCACTGTTGGCTCTATTAACTCGGTTCAGTCATCTATTACTGATACACAGATGGATAAACCTCTTGATCCACCTGTTTCCTATCCCTGTGACTCCTGCACCAAGCAATTCCTCACTATTGAATCTCTGACAAGTCACAAGGCTGTTCACAGGTCTAGGCCACTGGTTTGTGATGTTTGTGGAAAGGGTTTCACACATCGTAAGTACTACGTTGTACATCAGCGTATTCATACGGGGGAGAGGCCCTATTTGTGTGCAATGTGTGGTAAATCATTCACTCAGGCATCAACACTCACTGTACATCGACGGTATCACACGGGGGAACGACCTTATACCTGCACACTGTGCGGAAAGGGATTTGTTACTCGTACCATTATGCTCAATCATATGAAGAAACATTGAGGGGGTTGGGCTTTCGATGTGATAACGAAACTAGCGGAAAATTTGGGCGTTGAGGGGTAATTGGAGGGGCCATCGTTTCCTCAAAATTTTTAAACAATTTTTCTGCTTGAAATTATTAATATTTTTTTAATCCAAAGCGCAGTGATCTTCATCGGCGTCTCCTGGAGATCAATGGGCTTTGATTTTCAAAAATATCGATAACTATCGGTTGCAAATTTGTTCAAAAATGTCAGTTTGTGCAATTTGAAATGTCCGTTTCTCCGGAAATTCATGAAAGGTCCTAGAAAGTTTAGGAAATGTCCAGAACGGGTTAAGCACAATTCGTCAAAATACCATTGGTCGAATGACAATTTTGTCTATCACCAATTCGTCCAAATCACTTGGTCGAAAGGTTTATTAGGCATATTTTGCTATTTATAACCACGGCGCAAGCCCCTGATTAGAGAAAATTCACCCATATGCTGATTGGAAATAAAAACTACGGCGCCGGGCCGCGACGCGACTGATCGTGTCATGGAAATATTTCACACGGCGTTGCCAGACTTGTGGCTGCCGAGGTAGTCGGGAGATCAGGGAGTCTACTCTCCGAATGAATTGTGGCAAGGGCGCGCTCAGATTTACATTACGACGCGGCGCCGCGATGCGAGTAACCGCGTCGTCGGGCAGTTTCATGCGAGTAGCGAAGGGTTAATACAGAAACTAAAGTTTTGGAAAATCATAGAAAATTCTGGAAAGTTATAATGAAAAAAAAAATGGACCCCTGTACGTCGGACCACGAAACACACAAGTTTTAAAAATTAGCGGCATTCTGTTACCCCTTAAGGGGAAAACAATCATGCGAACAAACAAGTAAAAATATTTGCACAACCCTCTATACACCCCTAAATAGAATTTTTCGCTAGCTTCAGATTCATGTTTTCGATGATTTGTTTTTTTGGTGGAGTCAATGTCACGTTATCGCTGTGATAATTGTTAAGTATCGATTGGGGAAGGATATTTGTGGTAAAAGTGGTCAGATCTGTGGTAAATTACTGGGTTTTGTAATGACTTTTGGGAGAAATGTGCCTTTTGCGATAGGAAAACTCATCTTTTTTTTTTATTGAAAGAAGGAAAGTGTGCATTCATGTCAGAGATCGCCGAATGAATCGTTTCCTTTAGTCACTTGTCATCATCGTATTAATGGTTAATAAATAAAATACAATTCTGATTAGTTTTGTCGTCGCTAGTGGGACGAAATTCATTTTTCATTATATTAATAGTTATTGAAAAAATAAAATTCATTGTTAATTATCTCGGTTTTGAGTAATAATGATTGCTTTAATTTTCGTTATTTACTCAACGCAATCCTTCAGATTATATCCATATCAAAAGATTTGTTTTTACGTCAACACATGAACAGTTTTGCGCAAATGATGTTTTCGTAATTAAATAATTTGCAGTCACAATTTGTTCATCAATAGTTTAATGAAAATATTGACGATCAATATGATCCACTATTTGATAAATTGAAATATTTCAGATTTCATAATTTATTGTTATCGTAATGAGAATTATCCAAATGTAATTGGTTAATTACCAAATTAAAAATCTTCAAATACGATAATTAATTACTACATTATTGAAATAATTATAATAATTGAAATTGTCAATTGCTCATTTATAATGTAATGAAAAATATTTTCTCGTTATTACTCATTAATCTAATAATATACAGTTTTGGTGAAAGTATTATCGAAAGTTATATTATTCCCGATCTCTGCTTGATGTTCATTTCTGACAGCAAAACTTGTTTTTTTTATTGAAGAAGGGAATTGTGCCTTGATGTCAGAGATCACCGAATGAATGATCTCTTCTTTATTCACTTTTAATTATCATATTAATGATTAATGAATAAAATAAAATTCTGATTACTGATGAAATCGTGAATGAATTCTGATTCTGTAATCAATAATCAAACTAGATTCATTTTTCACTATAATATTAATGGTTATTGAAAAGAAATTAATTGTTAATTATTTTTGTTTTGAGTAATGATACTGGCTTTAATTGTCATTATTTACTCAACGCAATCCTTCAGATTAAATCCATATCGAAAGGTTCGTTGAGGTTTGATAAATTTATTTTGATATCAACACATGAACATTTTTACGCGAATCATGTTATCATAATGAAATAATTTGCAATCGCAATTTTTCATCAGTAGTTTAATGAATATATTGACGATCAGTATTATTCACTATTCAATAAATTAAAATATTTGGGGTTTCATGACTAATTGCTATCGTAATGAGGATTATCCAACGATAATTATTGGTCGATTAACAAATTGATTAATACATTACTGAAATAATTAAAATTCTCAATTACTCATTCATAATATAATGAAGAATAGTTTCTCGTCATTACTCATTAATCAACTAATATGTAATTTCGGTGAAATAATCATCGATCTCTGCTCGATGTTAACCGACATTGTTGAAAGAATCTCAATGAACTCTATAATTAGAAATACTAGGAGCTCAATAATCGAGTTGCCAAAATTGGCAGTAGCCGCAATAAGAATAACTTATTCATAATAATGTGATAATTTTAGTGCAATTTTATGAAACTCGGTGTACAACGTACTCAATTATACTTAATGTTGATATTTGATGTAAATTTATCGTGAACGTAACTTATCGGTCGTTCTCAATTCTCTCTTGCTCATTAAATAATTGACAGAAAAGAAAGCTCAATAAAGTAAAGACAAAAAAATGTTGAAAAAATTCATTTGTTTTCTTCATTTCTTCAGGCATTTTGGCTTTTCAGTTGTGCCTAGCGACTGCTGACGAAGGTAAGAGGCCGAAATTTCAGAGTGTCCGGACTATTTATCATAACAAACGTCTGCCCAAATTCTGGAAGAGCATCGAGTCCTCGAGTTTGCAGGAGCACTTCTCATTTCAGCTATTTTTTTCTCGTTATTTCTGGACTAAGACGATAACTCCTGCTTCAACTTAATTTCAGGGGAACTGAATACAGGACAGTTATAATTGTTAAATTGCCCCCCCTCCCCCTATCGATTATGATTCGCGTCACAGGACAGATGTTACCGTTCCCCCGAGTATTAATTTATTCTTTTCTTTCGACTTATTTTACCTGTGAGAGAGCGTGCGCGCCTGCGTGTGTTGCGTTTCAACCTCCTTGTGGAATCGATTTCCCCTCGTGGCTTTACGTAGTCACAACTGTACAAAACTAGACGAACTTGGATGGCACGAGAAAACGGTCAATGACTTCAGCCAACTTTCCCCCCCATAATTCACATGTATTGAAAAAAAAAAAATATTCGCAGAATTGTTCCAAAATTCCCGTCTAAAATTCCCAGAAAATTTGCATTGTCAACTCAAAAGTGCCGATGTCCATTGAAAAAAAAACTGATAGAAACCGTTAAAATAAAGAGGAGTTAGCATTAAAAAAAAAATCAATGGGAAAACATTCAGACAGGTTGTATTGATGCCCTCTTGTCTCTTATTTCCAGATACTATGTATCAAAACTTGCGATGCTGTCGCAGGATGACTGCAACGTTGATGAAATGAAGGTATTAGTGGACGGAGATACTGAACTCGTACTGAGTGAAACCCTACAGCCCAAAAATGACGAAAGCCTAGACGATATATTACCAAGTCAAATAGTCCAATGTGCCCTGTGTGGAGATGGTTTCATGAGTGAGAATGACCTAGCATTACACATAAAGACCCACGAGTCCCTTCAATCGCAGACAGACGACAATCAGGAGCTGATTGATAACGACATTGAGGATGAAAAAATAGTTTACGTTTGTGAGCACTGCGGCAAAAGCTTTACGACAACAGCAATGCTGCGTAAACACCAGCAACAGATGCACTCGCAGACGTCTGAGAAAGTTCACACTTGTGAAATGTGTGGATACAGCTCTGTGCACAAGCAGAATGTCATTAATCACATGAGAAGGCACAATCAGGAGTACAAGTATTGCTGTGAAATATGTGGGGCTGGTTTTTACGCCAGGAATATATATCTCGAGCACCAGTTGATTCACTCGAGGGAGAAGCCATTTCAGTGTGAAATATGCAATGCTACTTTCAGGTATCGCCAGGGCTTGAGGCTTCATGCCAAGCTCCATCAGCCGGACTATGTGCCACCCCAGAAGAAGCATCTCTGTGAACTATGTAACAAACGTTTCTCCAGGAAGCAGGTGTTGCTCGTCCACATGAGGACTCATGGGGGTGGTGGGCCACAGAATGAGTATGTCTGTCATATTTGTGGTAAGGCTGTGTCCAGCAAGACTTATCTGACTGTTCACGTGAGAAAGCACACTGGGGAGAAGCCTCATGTCTGCGATCTCTGTGGCAAGGGCTTCATATCCCAGAATTATCTCAGTGTTCACAGACGCACGCACACTGGGGAACGACCACATCAGTGCACACACTGCGAGAAGAGATTCACCCAGAGGACAACTCTCGTCGTTCATCTGAGGGGACACACCGGGGATCGACCCTATCCCTGCACCTTTTGCCAGAAATCATTCGCCTCGAAGACTATGCTCAATAGTCATCTCAAGACTCATGCGAAACAGAATGCCAGGGCACAGCAGGAGCAGATGATGAAGGAGGAACAGCTGCAGGATGGCTTTCAACATCTGCAGGAGACGCCCAATGATCATCTTACTCTGGAGGAACTTCAGTCTGAGGAGATTGCCGATGATATGCAGGAGCCGGCTCACACTACTGTACTTGAAAATGTCGCCGTTTTACTTCCTGGTTAGGGGTGGTGGGCGACACTCGCTTCATGCACGCACGGGGGTTTACGGGGTGGCCTCGGGGTTTAGGGAGTTTTATTTATTTTTACAACGAATTGCGCACAGGTGATTGCTTGGGAGAAACCGTCCGTCGTTGTTGAGTTGTTGAGGGGGGTTCATGCCGGGGAAGAAATTTTTTTTTGGAATTCAATTTGAAAACAAATCGGTGACGTAATTTTTTTGTATGATCATCAATTTTTGCTCATTAATTATGAAAATGGGGGAGATGCTCCTTGAAATTTATGC